CAAAAATCATAAACGTGGTTTAATTTATGATGATTTAAACTTATTGTGTTTGCACAAGCACATGTATAAAACTTTTAATACTAATCGCAAAAAATGTATTTCTTATCTATAAGTTTTCTGAGAAATTTATTTGAACGCATAATTCTATATACGTGTGAAAAGAAAAAGAAAAAGAGCAATATATTCCAATTATATTGTAAAGATATTACTAGTGACCATGACACGACAATCTCATTTAGTTTCTTATGGATGAAGTCATAATAAATTCGCATGTAGCTTCGCTTACGTGGCATTTCAACATAAATGTAAAAATGTTTAGCAAGAGATAAAATATGTTATTTAATAAAATTCTTGTGCACTTCTTTTCATAATACATGTACGTAAAAACACAATTTTGAATAGATTAATTAATTTCTTTATTTATTATAATTATGAAAAAATTATAAAATTAATAAAACTATAAACATTAATTTTTATATTGCAAAAATAGAATTATAATTATTTGATGATTCATATCTATTTAAAATTAAATAGAGAGATCATGAAATTAATTATACATAAATTAATGCTTCATCATTTGTAGAATATATCTTCAAATATATTATTATGGTGCTTTTAATAACCGCATGTATTTATCTTATTATAATTCGACTTTACTTAATGAATTTGAATAATAATTTATATGTACTTTGGCGATTTTCATTACTCACTGTTGATTATGCACTATACAATTTTCTTATGACTATTCAATTTATAGACCATCGAAATTTGCTTTCTAATTTAATAATTTGTATTCTTTAATATATATGGACATAATATTGATTGAAAATTTCTTTTTCTTTTTCAGAAAAAAATGGAGAAGAATGTGGTTAACGCTCAACCTTCAGTTCTACCAACAGCTCCGCCGTCTTATGAAGAAGCCATAGCTAATACAGGAGGAGCATCTACGCACCCTCCAGTTGGTCCCACATCGTACCCTTTGGGAAATGCGCCAGTACAAATGCCCATGCCATGTACGTAATATATGTCTTGATGTATAAAATTTGAAATATATATCTTGATGTCAAGCAAATATCCATCCTTCAAGATTTGTAATAGAACCGAAAAATTTCTCGCACATGTAAATTTAAATTTTTTACATCGCTTTTAGTTTAGAAAAATGTAGGAATGTTACAGATTAGTTAAGTTATTCATTTTCTTTTTTCAAACATCAAAAATAATCGATAATTTAAATTAAAATTTTTTAAAAAAGCAAATAATGTTTTGCAATGAATCAAATGATATTTATGCTCGAGAGAGAGAGAAAGAGAGAAGGAGGGGCAGGATAGAAGGAAAGACAGTTTAATAACTCTTAGATATATTTTCAGACAATCGGCCACCAAATCAAACAACGATGCCTACGCCATCAGCTTACCCAAGCTCAAATCAATCAACGTCGCAGCCGCGCTTCAATCCCGAATTAAATTCTGTACCACAGACGGAAGTACGAGTCATTCAACAACATGTGGTATACGCTCTGGGGCCAAACGCTGTGAAAATGTCCTGTCCGACGTGTCATGCCGATATCAAAACTACCACGATATCAGATCACCAGCCAAGTGCTCACCTTTGCTGCATCGTGCTCTGCTTACTCGGGTGAATATTAAAACTTTAGATATATTTGCAATTTGTATTTATTTTAGATACGATTATATATTAATTATTCAAGGATGCTTCTTATTTCTTTAATTATAATTATAATATTCCATTTTTATTATTTTATTCATCTTATTTATTGTAAAAATTAATATTTATTTTTGAATACTTATTAGATATCAAAAAATTATTTTTGAAATAATTTTTTGAAAATGATAAATGATAACCAATAATTTATATATCTTAAGTTTTACAAGATACAACTATATATTATATTAGTTACAAAATATAACGTTATTTATCGTTAAAAATTGTATGAGCATTTTTAAATAAAATTTTGATTCTAAATAGATTTGGTAATTTTTTGTTTCAGATGCTGCCTCTGCTCATGCCTGCCATATTGTATGAGCGCTTTTATGAGTGTTCACCACTTCTGTCCAAATTGCAAAAATTACATAGGCACGTGGACAGGTTGATTTTAAGCTTATATGTGTACATACACAGGTTTCAATTTCCCGTATATCGGGATACTTTGTAAGTATATAAAGAGCTGCTCGATGTCCTTCGCTTACTGCACATTAAGACAACAGAAAGAACAGATCACTGGAAATGTAAGTTATACATTACATGCTTCAGACTTGAAGATCATCGCGTCAATATGCAAATGACGATTTATCGAAATCAAGTCTAACATACGAATTGTAGATATAGACGAGTATGTGGATTCTAGATCATTTGAAGAATGAAAGTGACATTGATATATCATAGAGATTACATACTTTTATATAATAATACTAGATTGTTAACATAAACGAAATACTTTATCGTACGCATACAATGATATAAAATGTATACATTTTGTATCACTTCGAATTTTATAATTATAATATTATAATTGTAAAGTTTAAAATGATGCAAAAATGTGATTATAAAAAAGGAATTGCAAATATATTTAGCAAAGACATCATATATTTATTTAGCTGCAAAATAATTGATATTTTTGTTTCCACTATAGAGATTTTTATAAAATTTATAGAAAAAAAATTTGATTAATTTTTGTTGTATATTTTTTTCTCTGTTTATTGTTTTTCATCTTCTAAAAAGATGATAAAATTTTTATTATTTTTTTAATTCTTTTTTATAAGTTTTGAAATTGTATACAGTATTTAATAAACAAAAGTATCTAAATATTATATAATTAATATCTAATATTTAAATATTAAATTTCTATGGTTTAATAATGAAGCATATATACAGAATTATTTAATTTATATATTATTGTTAACGATCTAGTATACTATATAGAAGTCTTATTGCAGCTCTTTTATTTTCTATCTAAAATAAGAATTATATAATTTGATTTTTGTAACGTTAGACACGAGAATTTTCTCATTGAAACACTTTCATTGTTTTAGATTAAATAAATATACGAATTAATTTTCTATATATTTTACAACGTGTTTTTCAATTGTTTTATGTACTAATAATTTTACTTGCTCTTAACAAGTTTAATTATATTTTTTCATGGTTATAAAAAAGATAGAAAATAGGAAATAATGTGTGCAAACAATGAAAGCTGCCTTGTCTCGTGTCTAAAATAATATTTTCGTATTTCCTTCCTTTTTTTTTTATTATCAAACACGATTTCATGAAAAGTAAGATTTATGAAGAATATAATCTAATTTTCTCTTTAAATTGGATACACGGAGTATAAGCGTATCCACGAATTTAGTTACATATATATTAAATGTAAGTGTATTATGTATAAGCATATATTATAATATAAAAAACATATATTTTTGCGTACAATGAAAGAGGATTTGCAAACTTCTAGTATAATAAGAGCAATGAAAGTTATTCTTGGTTTCATTGAAAGATTTTTATTTATATTCATGCATACGATATTGAGATGAAACTGATAAGCACTAGGGCAGCAGAAGATTTTCTTAAAACAAGTTTTACGTCTCGTAATCTAATGTGTTCCGTACTCTATTCCAAGTTAGATTGAGAAGTATAGTCTTGGATGATATGATGATCTAATATTTCTCGATGCCAGATTGAATTTTCTCTAACTTATGTTATTCAAGTTTTAATAACCTGATGCCGTTCCATCATATTGTATCGAAAAATCCACATAGTTATTATATTGAAAAATCCACAGTAGTTATTGAACTTTTACATCTCACATTTCCTGTTGCTATTTTAGAAATCCTAACGGTCTTCCATTCTTTATCGAGAAATCATCTTCCAGCTTTTACGAAAAATTAATGATTGATATTTGATTATAAAATGAAAAATTAAAAAATTAAATTTTACGTTGATTATTATGAGAAATCTGCATGCTTTCTTAAAAGCTTTCTTGTCTACATCTTCTATTTTCTTATTAGCAAGATGTATCTTTTGTTTAGAATATATGCAATCAACGTCTTTATAACAAAATTTTTTTACGTATTTATCTCTTTTTTTTATCTTTTGTTTTTTTTCTGTTCTTTATTCATCAATTATATTTAGCTTTAAGCATAATTATTGGTTGTATGAACTATATCATATATATATACTTTGATAATCATTCTTTGATTTTAATCATAAAAGTAATAATTATATTCTTGATATTTGTCTTGATCTGAATATATAACGAACATATAATAAGTCTTATTTTATTAGTTAATTTGATTTTACAGTATATTTATATTGAAATTATAGATATATTTATACCGTGAAGATGAATCTACTACAGCACGATTTTTGTACAAACATCAAAACATTAAGGATTTGTGATAGATACATTTATTGATTTTGCATTTTGAAATCTATGATAATTCACATAGGTAAAAAGGATTACCTATTCATCGTTTCTATTTTACATAACTCTGTCTCATATATCGGATAGCCGAACAATCAACATTCCACAACGAGCGAATTTAATGAAGAGCTCAAAAAATATATAGCAGTGTTTTTCAGTCACTTGAATTTATTATTTTATAAATCTTATTTCAGTTTCGTAGTTATAGAAAGAAAAACCTATTTTTTTAGTAGTAGTATTAAATTAGTATTACAATTTAGTATTATATTAAAAAAATATTAAGCTTTCTCCTTGAATTTGTAATAAGAGATTTTTTTTCATTAAACAATCTTAAAGACTATTTTTGGGCAATGACATTTGTATAAATGTTATAAAATAACGTTGTTACAAACAACGAGCAATGCTTTACTATTACTTAAGGAACAGTAAAAATTTACAAATTAAGAGATGGATATAAAATGGATATACTTTGATATCTATTTCTCCATTATTTTTATATCAATTATTATCGATAAGTTTATATTTTAAAACGTTAGTAATTCAACGACCAATAACAACAAATATACGCAATCGCAGGTTATTTAATTAATTAATCTTACGTTCAAATATACTACGCCATTCTCTTGAGATGTAAGATTTATTCGCATATAATTTCTTTATTTTAATTTATATTATTTTAAAAAAAAATACAATTCTGCAATTTTATATTATAAATAGTAATCTATTGAAAAAAGATTTGTGCAATGTAATTTTCAGAATATTATATTAGCTTTTTGTATATTTTTAGGACATTTTATTTTGGTCGAATTGTGTGGTATTAAACAATAGTTTATGTTGCAACATTTTATTATTTGTTACGATACATTTGTTAAGAATGTCTTCTATAGTGCCAGAATATGAGAACAGTAAATAATTCAGTATATATAGTAAAAGTAAATAAATATTAATCATTATTCTAACATTGTTGTTTATTTTCATACAAAGAAATTTTTATTTTGAAAAAATGAAAAAAATATAGCTTACATGAGAAGTCATAAGAAATGTTTAGCAATGCGAAGATTGAAAAAGCCTGCAGCTTTGCAGAAATAGGCAGGATAAGATAGTAATAACGAATTAATTTCTTCTTTCTTTCTCTATTTAAATAGTTAACAATTGCTAGATCGCTTTCTTTTTATGTCTTTAATTCCTACTACATATTTGATTAATCTTCTTATTGCAAGCTCTGAATCACATAATCGAGATTTTCCATCTTGTCTAAAAGTAACAGTGTTTAGACTCAGATAAAAAAACTCAATAAAAGCCAATGCGGTTATCCGTAATATAGTGATATATTATTATAAAATTCAAATGTACAATCAAATTTATCGCAAATTCTGGACTTGGAGTCTCTTCATTGTCTTAGTAGATTAAATAATTACAGATAGGGTTACGTAAAAAAGTCCGTGATACTCTTCTATTCAAAGCGAAATCGAATGATATTGATAAAATACAAGAAAAAAATTTGAGAATGTCAAATTGTTGAAACAAAGATGTAAATTTAATATGTTTAATTTTTTAAGAAATTAAATTAAGAAAAAGCATAAATATCAGTGATATGGCGATGAGCCATATATATCGTCAAACTCTCACAATGCCTCATTGTTGTCATTTTTTTATTGAGTCAAAATGTTCGTAACATATATTAGATTAATATATGTAATGTATATGTATATTAGATTTTTATAATGTATATTATAATGTATATGTATATTAGATTTTTATAATAACATATCACTATTTATTCACAGATAATCGCGTTGGCTCTTATTGGCTTTCTTTATCTTTATTCTTAATCTTCCTCTTTCTCTCTCTCTCTTTCTCTCCTTCTTCTTTAAATTCTATCCTCTTTTTTAGATTCTAAACTAATATAACTTTTATATCTAAATACTTTTATTATTGTAATCTAGTATGAAGATTAAAACAACTTAGAAAGCCATAATCTCTTTTTTTAGTAGTAGTTATAATTTCTAATTGACCTTTCTCTTGTTCTTGTTATTCTTTTTTACTCACAGTTAATGAATTTTGCTATAACATTTCTGTAAAGTTTCAGATTAAAAAAAATTTTCTCATTGATGAAAATTTTATGTCAATTCTAGTATAAAGATAGAAGTCGAACGTTTCTTACAAATGTTCTTCAGCACATTTTGATTATTTAATTAGAATTTAGTGCTCGGCATTAGATGCACATTTCGGGCCGATTTCTAAGACGATGCCTACTAGTCCCCTACTATTTAGAAAAATAAAAATTAGCAAAGAAGATATTTAAATGACAGTTTGGAGCGAAAGATACGATAACATATTTCTCATGCGAGGACTCGGATGCTGCTGAGCCTCGAGTGAAGACAGTAGGCATAACCTCAGAAATCGGCCCAAAATATGCAATTAAATCTCAGCTCTGATTTAGGAAAAGAAATTATTCAAGAAGAAAGATATTTTAATAATGCTTTGGCGAAAGAATATGATCGTAACTCGGCTACCGACTCGGCTGTCAAGCCTCGAGCGGTAGTAAATGGATAATAGACATCGCCTCAGAAATTGGCATCTAATGCTAAGCACTAAGTTAAATAATTAAATAAATAGAAAATTAAATAATTTTAAGTAGAAATGTTCGACTTCCAAAGATTTATACGGAATTGTTATTGAATAATTAGAATATTAATTAAATTACTAATTTTATTAATTAAATCATGATTTGTGTTCCTTTACTATTTTAATAAAATATAATTTTGTTTTCTTTATGTGTTCTTTAATATTAATCGGCGTATTTTTGTATTAGTTATTGCCTGAAATTGTTTCACTATTCTGATAATTCCTCAATTTATCTCATAATCGAACATATGTATCATTTCAAAGCCAGGCACTAAGACATTAAGCTAGTCTGCGTGGAGATGAATTTTCCTAGCGATTTTTTTCCATTTATTTCACAGATATTTCATAAGTATTTACGCGAGTATTGTATTATATAATTTTTGTATAATGTATGAAATAAAATATATATTCAGTTAAATACTTTAATATTTCCCTAATTAAAGTATTTCCTGATAGCATCATATATTCGTGTTTAATTAGAAAAAGACTCGGCTAATTTTTGATTTTTTAATTTTTTATTTTTGTCTTTTTAATTGCTATACAGTATATCGAACAAACTCGAGTATATATGTATTCTCGTCTTGTAATGAAAAAAGTTCTAGTTTATAATTT